GGTGGGAAAGGACACAAGGGTGTGACTCACGAAATACTGAGTCCTGAGGATGTTGCAGCAGATGCTGCATTTAGGAAAACTCTTAAATGTTCTCCGTGCACAGAGATTTGCAGAGCAATTATTCCAAGTTAAGTTTATCCACTTTGTCTCCTTTTGATAGAGTAAGTTCACTTGACACAGTTTTTTTTTTCTTTAAATTTTTTTGAGTGTGTTTTATTCTTTAACAAGGACTTGCTGTGCTCTGGGTGAGTTTCTGAAATGGTTTTTAATGAGGCTTCATGGATGCACAGCCTTCACTGTGCATCTGATTCTCAGATATGGATGAAATTGGGAAATTCCCCTCATTCCTGTCCTGGCCTCGAGCAATTCCTCCTCCTTGGTGAGCTGCCCCAGAGGGAGCAGTGCTGGCAGTTAACACCAGCATCATTTTCAGGGATGCAGCCAGGAGCTGTGATGGCCAGCAGCTGATTGGGGATGGACTTTGTGCTGTGTCAGAGGGCTGGAGCTCTGCCTGGGGCTCAGGAAGTTTGTCCTGGCTGAAGGGAAGGGACCRTGGTGGCCTTGGGTACCACAGTGACAATGTGATCTCAGGCTGACCAGCGCTTGTTTCCCCAGAGATCTGGCCAGCACGGGGGTTTTGGTCTCAGAAAGGTGGGCAGAGCCTTGTCCAGCATCACAAACCTTGTTCTGGCATGGGATGGGGTGTGAGGCACCTCCCAAACTCTGCTGAGAGGGGTGAGGGCTGTAGCTCCTCTTCCASCCCMAAAGGCTGCGTCAGCATCAATGTCYRGGGCAGCACAACAAAATCTGTSCTTGGTATTTCTTATTTGGCAGCTGCGGATGAGCCTAAATTGAGTTGCAAAGGGCTGTTTGCTCTGAATTTGARGTGTTAATAATGCTGAGAAACTGATTAAAATTGGGTAAGCGTCTCTGAAGTCCCTCTTTTTGGGACGTCCCACTTTGTGGAGGTATAAGACGGCAGGTTTGGTTGGATATTGGGAAGAAATTCTTCCCTGTGGGGGTGGTGAGGCCCTGGCACAGGGTACCCAGAGAAGCTGTGGCTGCCCCTGGATCCCTGGAAGTGTCCAAGACCAGGTTGGACGGGACTTGGAGCACCCTGGGACAGTGGAAGATGTCTCTGCCCATGGCAGGGGATTGGGATGAGATGAGCTTTAAGTTCCTTCCAACCCAAATCATTCTATGAACTCACGAAAATGCTGAAGTTGAGAATTCTGGATTCAGCTTTGGCTGGGAAGCAAAACACCATTTACTCTCTGCTTCCTTTGTTAAATATTTCTCTGTCTATTCCCTTTTCTCCCTGAGGATCTCTGTGTTAGTGGGATGTAGTGGTTGTTTGGAAAAGAATGAAGCTTCAATATTTCCCAGAAATTGTGTTGAGCAGTGGTGCTGATGGGGTTCCTCAGAAGAAGAGATGTTGGTAGGTACAAAGTGTATCAATGAGGATGGAAAAGGATCACCTGGGTGGGAATATAGGAATGTMTGTGGTTTTAAAGAATACTGTGAACAAGACTGGGGCAAAGTGGGTGACACGTGGGCTGCAGATCCTCATCAGGGCTTTTGTGTCCCACTGTCAGGTGGCTTTGGAGACCTGACCCAAAACACTGCCTTGTTGTGGGGTGAGAATGGGACAACACAGCTCCTGTCCTCAAGCATTGAGGGCACTTTCAGAGCTGCTTGGGAGCTGCTGGAGGCTGGCACTCAAACAGTGAAGAGCTGTTACCAAAGCACAGATGGCTTAAAAAACCCACAAACCCAACCAACCAAAAAGATCCCTAATCAAACCTCCCTCCACCGCCTTCAGAAAAATAATCCCAAGCTGAAACAGAACACCCTAAAAAACCCCAAATCAAACAACACCTCCACCATCCCCATCCCAACCAATTATTCTGCCAGGAGGCTTTTCTCTGGTAAAAATATCTCTAAATGATGCTAAGATCATTAGGAAGGAGGTGATCCTGTCTGCAAAACAGTGCCATGCCWCTAATGGGAAGAAAAACAATTTCCTGAGTGGACAAGGCATCTCAATTATTTTTCTCTGTCTATRGATACATCCCTGTGCAGGCACAGGCTGTGAAGGAATGAAATATGGGAGCACCAGAAAAGGTGAGAATGGCCGTAGGAAAAGGAGTGTGATGTTCATCACTAATTGGGGTATGAATCATTTGGCTGCTCGTTGGATTCCCTTCCCATTCTCCTCGGGGCCCGGGAGAGGGGAGAGGTGAATGGTCCCCATGTCCTGCCCACCCCATTGCTGGCCCAGTTTGATTGCTGGAGGATTTTTTCCCCACCCTTTTGGGTTTTCAGCTGYCTAGGGGTTCCCTAAATTCCATGTTGTGCTTCTATTTTCTCCTGCATTTTCCTGGTTACTCCTTCGTGATTATTTTTATCCTGATTCCTGTYTTCAGAGCAGAATGTGGTGAAAAATAGACCCAGTGAGAGCTGTCCTACCAGGCACAGCATCATTACATGCTGTTTACTTTTCCAAATTTTTAAGGCACGAACAAAAGAGCCTTTGCAATATCTCTTCCTGCCCTCAGCTGCTTTTCTCAGTGGCATTTTGCTCTCCAGCTGTTTGGCATGTATTTTTAATTTAAGACTAGCRAGGTTGCTGTGCTAAAAATATATTGATAAAGCATCAGGATCATCTCTCTTCCAGATCCAATCCTCGGATATAAACTCCTATGGAAATTAATGGGCTGTCTGGATTCCAGGGCAGGATTGAGACTTCATGGTGCAGATGGATCAATAGAGTGTAAATCGATCAATACAGGCAATCAGGGGAGTCAGGCAAGGTTTATGCTTAATGCACTGCTGCTGTCATCCCTCATTGTGCCTGGGTTTGTGTAACTCAAGYACGCACAAGCAAATCCTCCAAACCATATGGCTTTGCTGGGTGCTCTCCATCCCTTCACATTTCATACCATTGCTGAGGTTTTWTAGGATATTGTAGTTTTGCAGTAGTAATTAAACTGGGAATTCTTCTATTATTTTTTTTCTTCTTTAGAGTTTTTTTATTGAACATGGATCTTGTTTTGGTATCAAGGTGTGTTTGGGCCATTCAAGGTGTGTTTGGGCCATTCAAGGTGTGTTGGGGACTTTCTCCCAAATGTTAGTGTGGGTATTTGGTGGTTGGGGGGCTGCAGTGGTGGGAATGTGGGGCAGATGGGGTGGTCACAGGGCCACTGTGGGGTCAGGACCTGTCTCTCCCTCTCCTCCTCGTCATCCTGCACTGCCAGGCTGGGAGCTGCTCTCACCTGGCCAGTCTGACCTGATCTGGCACCTACTCTGCTTCCTTCAGGAACAGGGCAGTCAGCCAGCTTCCAAAATCAGGGAATTGTTTCATTTCTCTGTAGGAATAGAGCTTTTGGAGAAAAAGAAAACTTTAAAAACAAAACCCTTTTWAAAAATGCACCTCCCCTTCCCAAACCCTCCCACCTCATGGCTGACTCATGGGCAGACACTTCAGTAACAAATAACATCTTTTGCTTTTGTCCTTCAAATAGACTTCCAAGCTCTAAGCCCTTTTAAACTACAAAATACTTTTTTTTTGGCTTTTTCTCTTTCAATTYTCTCAAGGATTTACTGACACATGCTCTGTCAGCTTAGTTTTCCTYTCTTCCTGTTGGCCTCCCCTCCAATTCCACGCCCAAATACGCATACAGAAATTATCTCATGATTCAGGACAATACCCAGCTCTTCAGATCTGCCATGAACCATCTGCATGACCTTGGGCAGTCTGCTGCTCTATTGCAAACTCTCCGCGGTGAAACCTGAACATGGTTTTGTTTTTAGATGAAAAAAAAATTGTTGGGGATGACCACTCTCCAAATTAGGGCTGTGCTGGCTTGGCTCTGGCTCSAGTTGTGAACATGAGCAACTGTTCTCATCTGAGAAACGTGAGGTGGCAATTTATTCYGAGGATTTATCCTGAGCTCTGTTGGCCTGTCTGGCCAGGCACATATGTCATGCAGAAGTATGTTTTCCTCCTCAGATGGTGCTGATCTGCCTCTCTGCACAGCCACAGCCTCTGCTCGAGCCCCTCATTGCTCTGGTGTGCTTGACTGACTCATTTATCAAACCTTGCAAATGACTTTTCTCTCCAAATTCTTCTCTTTTCACTGGAGACAAGGCACACAGCTTCTTCCCACGTAAATCACATTCCAAAACTTTGATGTCATCTTTATTTTCCTCTCTCGAGACTCCTGAGAAACCCTGCACAGGATGATTACTTTCATTATATCTCCTCTTTGGGAAAGACCAGAGCAGGGCTGCCTGGCTGGACCCTTTAGCATCAATAACAACACACCTCAAAGAGCAACATTTGTAATGGTCTGCCAGGTCCCACCTGGGCTCACAAAAGCTTTTCACTAATAACACTGCAATTTTTTTTCTGAAGACAACAGGGAGAAACTGGGAAAGGATCAGGATTTGGCAGTGTATGGTTTTATCATTAACACAGCTGCTGTGTGAACTGTAGCATTAAACTCATGGAATTTTCAACAAAGCCTCAAACTTGATGTTTTCCAGCCTTTCCTGAATGTTTGCTCTTTAGGTTCATACTGAGGTGCTTTAATAAAAGCAGACTGACTTCCAGAGGTCTGAGTGGCCTGGCTTTCCTGTTGTCTCTTCTGCAACCAAGTTATTAAAATAAAACCCTTTCAGCTATTTTGTTGAGATGTGAAAGGGTATTTGTGGTATGGTGACCGGAGTCCCGCTGTCTTATGAACCACCCTGAAGGTGGCAAGAATCCCTCTGGCTGTGTGGGGGACCTGGAGCGATCTATTTATAATTTTCTTACCTTGACAAAGCRCAGGGAGGGACTCAAATATGTCCCATCCTTATGGAAATTAATTGTGTTAATGGGATCATTAGAATTCAGAGTAGTGTCAACAAACTGGTTTTTGCAGCTAATGATGGGAGGGTTATGACATMAGGAAGGCGGAGAACCTGGTCATCTATAAATACGTGATCAGCCCTGAGTCCTTTCTTTGGGTTTCATTGAGCAATGCTCTAGTAGAGCCAACGTAGGCAAACAGCCGCCACCACCCTCACCATGAAAATAGAAGGTGCCTCGGTGGTCCTTGCTCTGGCATTTTTCTGCTTCTTCTCAGGTCAGTAACTTGTGATGTTCTCTGTGCTGGAATCTGGGACTGGCAGCGGACGCAGCCTGGGAGTGCCCATAAAGACAGAGAGAGAGAGAGGATTAGAGAGCCCTTGGTTTTTTWAAAAAAGCATAGTGGTGTGGCAGAAAACCACCATTATTTTTGCTGTATTGGTTTGATGTAACGTGCCTTGTTAACTACTCTTTCATGTGGAAATAGTAAAGTTTTATTGGTAGGTGAAAGCATCTATTTTAACAGAATTAGCAGTTTGAGAACAAACAAAAAAAGCCAAACCCCCATTTGTCTAAGTGGAAGAATACCAATTCCCAGCCAGACTGAATTCTTCCATAAAAGGCCCAACTTTGAACAAAAATGTAATACAATTTTTGGTAAATTCAGAAAAATGGTAATGTCTTGTCAACACTTGCTAAGGAAGGCATTTTCACATGGCTGCAGTAATTTGGCTACAATAGACATCAGCAGGAGTTAGGTTTGATGCCATGGTCTTCCAATTTCCTGCCTGTTTCTATTGAAAGAGAGCTAATGGAAGATTTCTTGACAGTTCCTTGCGATGCCACTGATGATGCAAAAGAGGATGAAACATATTATACCAGCTCTAAGTGGCTTAGTAAAAAGAAATCTGTATCAGCTAGTCACCCGCTGACTCATTATTAATTTGGTAATTTGTGTGAAGTACTGCAAATGGAATGGGCCTTGAAAAGGAATTTGTCATTTTGGACAAACAACAATGATATGGCCTAGCTCTGGTATCCCAATTTGATGGTGAAGAATGCCAAAAATGTTTGTGTGAGTTTGAGGCAACTACCCAAGCAGGGGTGTCAAATAATGGAGAAACAGTTGCTGAACCATCCTTGCAACTTGGATTTTAAGCCTGAGAAAAGCAACACAGTAAAGGAGGGCACAAAGACATAAAAAAATGGATGCGATTTTGCATTTGAATGACAAAAAGTGCAATGTTCCAGAAAGGACTGGGCATTAGAGGCTTTCTATCAGTGTGAAATAATGCATTGGATTAGCTTTTATCAAGAGGTATTTGGGTGGATTAGAAAACTGCATCAAGTATTTTAATTAAATGCTTTTGCTTCAAAATTCCCCTTCAAAGATTTTTGTATGGTTTCATTGTTGGTTTTTCTGTCRCAGATGTTGCCAGTCAAGCTTCGATTAAGGCGAGTCCAACCTTTTCTCTTCTGATTCTCCTTTTGTTTTGCCAACTTACACTGCTTAATGCATGCTCTGAGCACAGTCCATTTAGATGCACTATACTTAGATATTAAAATGCTTTTTCAGTGGTGAAAAAAAGCAGTGAATCTGTCCATATTTAGAGACAATACTTGGATAATACAGCAGTGGCTCCAGCTGACAGTGTGTGTTTGGTGCATGATGCTGAGAACATATCCAAACAGCTCTGGGCCAGAAATATCATGAAATGATGTTAGAAATGGCGTGAATTATATTTTTAATGATATTTTAGGATGTAGCTTCTGATCCAGCAGAAACCCCTGCTTCTGATAATTCCTGAGTTTTCATAATTAAAAGAATTAAGGCAAGTCCTTTGAGTCTCAGAAAATAATTTGATTCAATGGCTGAGAAGTCAGTTCCATTCATGTTTTAATCAAGCAAGCTTGTCTCCCTGGTAAAGATCCTTCCGGGAGACACGGGAGCCAAAAATAACTGAACGGTTCATTGCTTCTCCCTGGTCTGCATCTCAGTTACCCGGCAGAAGATGCAATGGGCTGCTGCAACATTGCACAACGCTGCTGCTCTGCTTGCTGGGGCTTTTCTTGCTCTGTGCTTTTCTGGGCTTGTCCTGCACGTGAATTACTCTCCAGTCACTCTGGCCCGTTCGTTCCTCTTGCATCCCTCTGGCACTTCCAGGGCTGTATTTTCTGCTCTTGGCTAACTTTATAGCACGCAGTCCTCTGCTGTAGTGGGTAGCAATTTGCAGCTGTGTGTAAATTAAATGTGTTCCTTAAATGTGTATTCCTTTCCCTGTGATTAATGGTTCTTGCAAAGGGTTTTGAACTTTCTCATTGCCTTTGCTGCCTCGGGAGCCACGAGCAGGGCTCTGGGTGCAGCCTGTGCCACGTGGGGTGCGTGGCCAGGGATGGGCAGGAGTGTGTTTTGTGTGGSCAAACTGTTGAGAGCTTGCAGCACGCCCAGAAAAGATTCAATGTGAGCAGACACTGCTCAGGGTCTCGATGGGAGCCCCGCTCATTGCCCTCCTCTGTGCTTTTCAGAATGAATGCAGGAAAATCTGGTCGCTTCTGCGCAGCGGGAAGTTTTCCTGTCCCACCACCAGGGAGCCCTTCAGAAGCCCCAATAACAAAGGAGACCTCAACAAGTGCATGATGTGCCAAAGGCTGCTGTGAGTACTCCCTGCCCTCCCACAGCAGGGAACCAGCTCTCAGGAGGCTTGGTGCTATAAAATTGTTGTCCCTGGCCAGCCAGACCAGTTTGTAGTTCTTCAGCGAGCCTGTGAACCCAGTCGCTCTCTTCAGCTCATCACATGGTGGGGACTCACCATGGAGGGTGAGGAGCAAACGCAGAGTGAAAAATTACAGCGATTAATTTTTTGTTTCCATAAATAGTGGTTTTTAGGATGGAGAGAGCTGGGTGTTAGACAGGGAGAAAGGATGGCACAATGCCCCCAGAGCAGAGATGCCAAACACCCTGGGCATGTGCCAGGGAGCCGAGCCCTGGTGCTGCTCTGTGAGCAATGGGGAGGTGGGGTTGGACGCACTGGCCTTTAATCACCCTCTGTTTWGGCTTTGTGTCCGAGCTGCCCTGTCACTCACACCTCCCTTTCTTGCAGGGAAAGAGACTCAAAAAACCARGGGAGTGGTGGAGATTTGGACAGGAACGTGAACTCCTTGGGAAAGGTGAGGTGAAACATCGCTGCTGAAGCTTCTTTTATTGGCAATGGCATCACATTGGCTGCCTCTGACCCGCTGCCCAGGGTGCTTCCTCGTCTGCAGCGTGGGAAAGGGCCTCAAGTGGGAGCAGGGCAAACGTGCCCAGCCTTGGGAAGAGTGTGAGGCTTTGTGCCATCCTCCAGCACAAAAGAAACCAAAACTGCTGGCGGCTCCTCCCAGGCAATCACGGCACCTCCGCTCTGCGCCTGACCCAGAGCCCCRGCTCAGGAGGATGCCTGCCTGTTTATAAGGCACACCATTGGCATCTGGCAAATATTTAATAGCAAGGTTGGCGCATGTGAGCTCTGACTAGGGCAGGGTGTGGGAACAGGCCGCCTCTAATTGTCCCTTGTTTATCTTGTYGATGCACCTGGCTGGTTTCTTTTACCCATAGCTGTTTTTCTAGATAGCAGGCCTTTATGTGGAGGGAGCTGTCTTTTTAGCCTTGGGTTTTTATTCTAGATGGGAGTGAATTGGTTTCCATCAGATAGTGTTGGCTGTGGTGATTGATTTATTTATTTTTTACATCTGGTTAAGCAGGGTAGCTTTCTAGCTCTTGKGTGTCTGGACAAATTAAAGGCTTTGTAAGGCACAGCTGTCCTAAGGGAAATCTTTTTTTTTAGACATTTGACTTGCCAGAGTGTGGTCCTGAAGGCAGAAGGACAGTTTTACAGCGTCAGGAAGAGACCTACACTGAATTTCTTTGTTAARCCATAGATTTTCTGTCTGGCTTTTGGCAAGTAATTTTCTAGGCTTGACTTCCCCATCTGCAGAGCTGGGATAAGCTATCAAGCCATCTCCTCTACATGGTGTGAGAGGAAAAAYGTATTACAGATCACATGGCAGATAAGGCTCTAAGTGCTGCATAAACGAACCTCAARACTTCCCATGTTCCATGTGCTCCTTGTGCTCCAGACTTGCCCAGAAAGTTACAGAAAAGCTGTTCAGAGGGAAGTAAAGGCCAGGCTGAAACGCTTAACCAGGCTTTGCACAAAAGCCTTTTGTGAAATAGAGTGCTTAGGGTTTTCAATTAACACATGCTATCATGTAAAAACACCCACCTCTTACTCTGGTGTACCTGGGGATAGGATGTGTTCAAGGATTATATATTTTTTTTTTTTATGCCTGCAGCTTCATTTTTTTACTGTGCATGGGTTTTAAAATTCTTGGTAGTGCGTTCTCTCATGAGAATGGGAAAACCAACTTTCTCATTCAAAATTCACTGAAATTGTGGATTTTGTACTTAGAACAGAGCTTAGGTCCTTYGGGCAGGCTCTTGCATGTCTTATCTGGTAGAAATAGCAACAAGGCTACCGCGGATGCGAAAGACAGATCTGCTCATCTAAACACGCRGATTTATTTGTTTTATGCCGCGTGTTATGGTTTTCCACCGAGTTACGCCTCAAGGAAGCAAAATAACGTTTGAAATGCAATTTGCTGGGTGGATAATCCCTTGTGGATTTGTGGGGGATGCGTCTCTCTGTCAGCACATCCGTGTCAACCCCTGCTTTTGGCGTTCGCACAGGACGAGTGCCGGGAGTTCCGGGATCTGTTCAGGAGGGGGAAGCTTTCCTGCACCAGGGAGAACGACCCTGTCCGGGATGCCTCTGGAAAACAGCACAGCAATAAATGCATCATGTGTGCAGAGAAGTTGTGAGTAAAGGAGGAGAGCGTGGGATTTCTCGGCCCTCCTGCCGCCGGCAGCGGGGAAATCTCCCCTCCCTGGAGCACCCTGGCACTCACTTTCTCATCTCCTTCTCTTCCAGCAAAAGGGAGAATGAGCGGAAGTTATCTAAAAACAGACAAGGAAAGGATAAGGTGAGATTAAAGCATTAGGCAGGTCAATATAGAACTTTATTGGATTTTCACCCAAGACAGAGGAAAGGCGATGTTATTCTATTCGGTTGCACTTTCTTCTCTGACTTCATTTTGAGATCCGCTTTCCTTACCCTCCTCATTTCTTATTCATGCTCTCGAATCCCTCAAGTGAACAACTTGTGCCTGAGTATTATGGTCTGCCCCGCTGACCTGTGGATCTAGGGACAGGCGAATCCYGACAGAGCAGGAAGCCAGGTGTGCTGTGCTGTCCCGAATTTTGGCTCACGGGTGGAGAGGTCAGTTCTGCTGAGGCTGCTAATTAGGCTGCTAAAGGAAAAATGTGTGAAAAGCCCTAAATCTGAACTCTGCACAGCTTAAAAGATCACTGTGTTCTGGGAGATGTCAGCTCTGCACTGTCTCCAGGCTTGTGGTTCAGTTTCAGCTTTTTTTTTGTTGGAAACTTTGTTCTCATGGAGCTGTCATTGCCACCTTCTCCCTGGCACACTGCAACAACCATGTTGCTGTGTGCTGATGCTTTGCTGGCAAAAACAGCCCTGTAAAAGGGAAAATAGCTGCTTTCCACCACTTTCCTCTTGATTTCTGCTATGGCAGGGACTGGTGCAGCCCCCTTAAGCCTCAGTCTTGGGGATAATCCTGTTTTAGTGCTTTTTCTAATGGCTTTGGCACCAAAAAATAGAAGTGTAAGTGAAATTTGCTGATGGCAAAGCTGGGAGGCAGTATCAGCAGAGTAGCATCAGCAGATCACTCAAGACTAATTGGATAGTGCTGAGGCCTGGAGTAATAGAAACAAGATAAAATGTATTGGCAGTGCAAGATCACACACTCTGTGATTAACAAGGATTCCCACTCATTGGCTAGAAGTGACAAAGGATAAGAAAGCCCTGCATTTATTAGTGGGTCAGGGATGCAAGAAAGGCGAAGGCACGACTCAGATGTACTTGGAGAGATTTTTGCAGCAGAGGTCAGGCCTGAGCAGGGCTCCAGAAATGCTGGCTCGAAGAGAGAGTGTTTGAGAGAGGCGTTTAGGGGAAGGCAGAGGGTGTGGGTGCAGAGGGTCAGGGTGCTGAGCTGGGCTGCTCCCAGGGAATAAGGCACAGAGGGGCTGGAGAGGTTTCCTGAGCTTGTTGGGAAGGGAAAGCACTGCCTGCACTGTGCTGGTGGTGGGGAGAAGCAGTGAGGCTGGTGGGGAACCCCTCTGGAGTGGTGCAATGCTGATTTCTGGTGGGACAATGCTCTGTGGCTGCTGGCACAGCAGAACAGGCTCCTCCAGGGCTGGGGCAGATGTGGGGCTTTGCACTCAGAGTGGTTTGCAGCGTTAGCCTCGTGGGGAAAGCTGAGGAGCCCTGGGTGGGATGCAGGACAACACTGGGGAAACCTTTCCCTGGCAGAGAGGATGAAGTGTTGTAAACTCTGGAGCAAAGCAAGGGGTGAGGACAGAGACGTGCTAAGGTCCTTACAAGTTAGCAAAGCTGTGCACAAAATGGGCAGAAAATTGCAAGTGTTAAAACCTTTTTTTTTTAAAAAAGAAAAGATTAAGTGGAAGTCACTTGCTTGTCGTTTGTAGCTGCTGTTCRGAACTGGCTGTTGCAGTGAGTGAAATAGTTGAAATGAGGGGGACTGAATGTTTCCATCCAYGTTACATAACAGGGGCAGGTTAACACAGTTTCTGTGCAGCAGTTTTGAACAAGGAACAAATTAATCATCCACTCTCCAAACAACCTTCCTGTGCTCGTGGGCTATTAAGTGTGTTTGCACTGTGCTTTTATGTTTTAACTGCTTCTTCTTGATTGACGTGTCCCAAAGCGCGGCTGGTTCGGAGGATCCTACGCGCTTTGTAAAGAAAATTATCTGAGCTACAATCTGGGAAAAGGCTGTAGCTGTGTATTAAGGATGTTGGGAGAAGAGGGAGTGACTTCATTACYGTATCGGTCACATCACTGGCATGCTTTGGATAGCCCAGCCAGGAGAATAATAATTAGTGGGACCATAGTAGAAAACTCCCAACACGTGCTGTGCAGGCAGAAGGACCCGGAATTTTTCTGACTCACCCCTCTGTTTATATGCTAAGTGCTGCACACCCTCTTCTCTCACCCCCACCCAGACTCTCCTGTGATGCATTTGTGGTGGTTCCCTGCTTTCCTGGCAGGAAATCCCAGGTTTCTAAGGATCAGGTCAATAAGGCAGGGAGGACAAAGTGCCCTAACCCTGCCCTCCTTCCACAGGATGACTGCAGCGAGTTTCGCTCCCAGTTTGAARCTGGTGGACGCCTGTCCTGCACCAGGGAGAACGCCCCTGTCCGGGATGCTTCTGGCAGGCAGCACACCAACAAGTGTCTCATGTGTGCCGAGAAGTTGTGAGTACCCCTCCATCTGAGCATCCACAGCAAAGAGGGAAAACTCCGGCTGCAAAACTGCAGCTGCTGCCTGGGAGCTACATCTGGGCAATGCCTGGGAGAGTCCTGACTCCCAGGGGCCCCCTGAGAGATGCTCTGGCAGGAGGGCTCCAGCCTTCACCCCTATTCCCACTTCACTTTCAGCACTAGGGGCCCCGGGGCAGGTGAGAAGCAGTGTGGAGTGGAGGAGGAGAATTAAGGTGGACAGAGAGCAGCCCTTTCCCAGGGGACTGTCGGGCCTGGGCAGCTCCTGAGGAGCTCCCCACGCGTGTACTTTGCCTTCCAGACGCTCTCTTTCTACTCCCATAGAGCATATGCAGAAGCAGCCCTGATTTGAAAGCAGCCACGTGGACCCAGGATGTAGCATACAGTGGGAATGGTGAGGAGAAAGGGAGAAGGTTTAGGGGTGGGGATAGGAACAGGGCCACCAGGAGCAGGGATTGTGGATGGGGAGGTGGTACCCAGTGGCAGCCCTGGGCGCTGGTGGCATTCACACTGTCATAGCACTCTCTTTTTTCTCTTCTTCCCTCCTTCCAGCAAAAAGGAAGCTCAGAGAGGGGGTGGAGCGCTCCAGCGCAACAAATCGCCCTCTTTGGAGAGAACAAACCAGGTGAGWTGAAGCTCAGAGCCTACACTGAGCTCAGAAAGGGATCCTGTGGGATCTGCATGGCCAGGGAGTGCCTGTGGTCAGCCTGGGGTGGTCATGGTTCTGGGGATTCTGTAAACACTTAATGATGGGGGGAAGCTGGTTGTGTTTCAAAGCCTCACTCATTTGTGGGATGGACCTGGGTGTGAGAGCACACACACTGGACATGTTTGGATCTGGCAGAACAGCCCCTCTCACTTTCTTGGTGATGTGAGAGATAAAGAGTGGGTTCAGAATCCCCATAGTCCTGTGAGCCCTCGGATAATAACATTTGGTGGGTACGAAGTGCATCAAAACTGCTACTCTAAGAACAGAATTCTTCGGGTCTGGAGGAAGAGAAGAGGGAGGGCAGGAGCTGCTTTAGCCTTGCTGCTTCTTTAATTGCACAAAGTTGTTTCTGTGGCTGTTGAGTGTGTTCTGCCCCCTTTGCAGAAGAACTGTGGTGGTTCACGGCAGGGTGTAAACGACAGACGTCCCTTCTCATCGGGCAGAGGGTGAGCTCAGCAGCGCCTGGGGTGGCAGCCTGTCCCCACAAACCCGCCCTGGCACTGGTTTCTGCCCCCTTCCACCCACATGTRCCTTCTTGGGGGTGTTTAGCAGGTTCATGGGAGCAGGAGCAGTTTGGCAGCACACGAGCAGCACGCTCTGGGATGGAGAAGAGCACATTGTGCTCTTTGGTGCTCCCCACAGCACTCCCAGCTGGCTGAGCTGGTGATGGGGAAGGGACACAGAGCAGGGCATGTTTCTCATGCAGCCCTTGCTCCTTTTTGGCCTTGATCCTCTGTGTACGAAGCACCAGTGATTGCTGTGCTCACAATGCCTCTCAGGACACTCTGTCCAGCAGAATCTGCTTCCTGGCAGTGCACACGTGTGTGCCTGGCCCGGCTCAAAGGCAGTGCCTGGTTCACCACGTGCTTTCTGGGCACTGGTCAGGCACTGCTGTTTGTTTTGGAGCTGCTGGCCCTGAGCAGGACTCAGCTGCTGCTTTTTCTGGAGAGCACTGAGATTTCTTGTTTTTGGCTGGTGCAATTCCTTCATGTCCCACTTCCATCAAGGAATGGATTTCATCAATTCCATTCCATCCATTCCTGCCTTGCCAGCAGACTCAGGGGTGCAGAGCCCTGGGCTGGGGTGCACTTGGACAGAGCACAGGGCAAGCCTGTGTCCTGCTGGTGGGTTCCTCCCTTTTAGCACGTGGCCGGGGGGCTTTTCACCCTCTCCTGTCCCTGTGGGTGAATGGGTGGGTGAGTGGGTGCTGCAGCACCAACAGCCCTCCCAGAGCCATGGGGTCTGCAGGGAGGGAGGGAGGGAGGGTTTGCACTCTGCTCCCCCTCTTTGGGAGGAGCAGGGGATGAACTGTTCCTCTGCTCTCTCTGCCAGCCCACAAGGTCAGCGTGGCAGGAACTGCAACCGGTCCCCCGGCCGCAAGTCACAGAGCAGAGACACCGACGAGGACCCGGCGGTAAATCCACCTCCTGCAGCTCTGAGGGCAGCACTGGGGYTCCTGCAGCTCGGCTGGCAGCTCTGAGGRCAGCACTGGGGCTCCTGCAGCTCGGCTGGCAGCTCTGAGGGCAGCACTGGGGCTCCTGCAGCTCGGCTGGCAGCTCTGAGGGCAGCAGTGGGGCTCCTGCAGCTCGGCTGGTGGCTCTGAGGGCAGCAGTGAGGTTCCTGCAGCTCGGCTGGCAGCTCTGAGGGCAGCAGTGGGGTTCCTGCAGCTCTGAGGGCAGCACTGGGGCTCCTGCAGCTTGGCTGTGTGGGCAGCAGTGGGGATCTCTCCCATGGGGTGCTCCTCTGCTGGAGCTGAGCCACCCCTGCTCCTTTCTCAGCTGCTGTTCCTGTTCTTGCCATAACCCTAAAGCTTCTCTCACTCGACCCCATGGCCTTGAAGGGTTTGAATGAGTGAAAGTGTCTGTAGCCCGATGCCAGCCCCCGTGTCACCTGGTGCTGAAGCAGAGAGAAAGGTTGGCTCCCTGTGGGTCTGGAGCTCAGGCTGGACCCCTGCCCCACATGCAGCACCCCAGAGTGGGGTGAGGAATGCTCCCCTGCCACGTGAGAAGGTGCTGAAATGAAGGCTGTGGTCAGAGCAGGGTGGTGGGGCTGACCAGGGGATGAGGACAAGCTCGGCAGGAGGAAGGAGCGCTAACGCTGAGTGGTGGATGAGAACCGTGTATGGAATGATGTGGGAGGGAGGTGGGGGTGGTCTGCTCTCCCTTCTCATGAGGAGAAAATGGAATAGTTCCAGCAGAGCTAAAAGTGGGAAATGTGAACTAATAAGAGAAAATAAGTTACCGTAAAAAGGGTGACTAAACTGTGGATCTCACTATCACAGGGTGCTGTCTAGAGGTAGGATGGTTAAAAAAAAATACCTGATGTTTTAATTCCTCCAGCATTTTCATACAGTAATTTAAATAGCATTTTGGAAGGGTAGGRAATGTGTTTCTATGGGTTTGGAGGGATCTTACTACCAACTGCCTCATCTCTCTCTRAAGCTTCTGATACTGACCACTTTTAGAAAAGGGATATTTGAGTTAAAAGCCCAATAGATAGCYCAGGTACAGCAATTTCGATGCATTCCAGAGGAAGCATTAGGTGTAATAAGGCCAGTCTGCTTCAGGGCTTAGTGGTATTTCCTGGTAGCACTGGAGGGGGAGTGGATGCTGATGAGCCTGATGGACCAGAGGTGATTCAGGGAGCAGATCTGCTCCTCTCCTCTTTCCAGGGCCACCTGTGGGTTTTGTCACAGACAATTCCCAGAGCCCAAGGACTGGTGGCACTGGCTGTGGGCACCTTGGGGCCGGTGGGRTGGCCTCCTGCCCTGGCCTGTGCTGCATCCAGCAGTGTCTGGTGCGTAGGAAGCACCCAGCAGAGGATTGCAAAGGTCAGCATTGTCTGCTCTCACGTCACTGATAATTACCCAGATGAGGGAGGAAGCAGCACATTATGGAAATTAGCAAGTGACGTTTACCCGGCAGGTGCTATCACAGCACCCCAAAATCACCAAAACCCCCCTGTGCTATGACACCTTTCTTCCCTGGGGTGCCTCCTGCTCTGTGGGGCTGCTGATAAACCATCATTTTTGTGCTCAAAGCTGCATCTCCAGGCAGAGCAGAGAGTGGAATGTTCTCTCAGTCCCATTGCTCCATTTGCATCGTTGCAACATCTTTTGTGGCACCTGGAGAAGGGGTTGGGGAGCCCATTAGTCACCTCTTCGTCTCGGTCTTTTTTCGGTTCCTGGAGCTGCGGTGGGGCTGRGGAAGGGGCTGTGCGTGCCAGGGAACAGGCTGTGCTGTCCCTGACCTCTGCTGTCGGAAACCTGCTATGACCGTGCAAAACACCCGCTCCGCTCCTCTCGCAGCCTGCCAGAGCCTTTTTGGGATCCCTGCACGGCCGCTCCTCGTTCTGTCAGCCCGTCCCGGCTGTGCCACGTGTGCTTTGTAGGGAAAACTGTGCCTAAATGTTCCCGTTGCGGTGCGGGAGAGGAAGCAGGAGGGCACCCCCCGTTAGTCAGAGCTGCTCGTGTCTGTCGTGGGCGTGGGGAGCGCTGCGTGTCGCACCGCCCGCGGGCACAGCCAGCCTGCTCCAGGCGTTCTTCCTTCATTTGGGCCACTGGGTTTCATCTCAGTCCTTGGAGATAAAAAGGTGTCAGGATAAGGATAGCTAGGTACAGGTAGAAGATGATTTTTTTGTCTTTTGGGTGGACTTTGAGAGCAATAAACCTTGGGTGGATCAGATGAGTGGGGCATCAGGGCTCCGTCCCCAAAATCTTGGTCCGACAAGAGACATGATTTCYTTCCAAGCCTGGCCTGGCTGGAAGGTGACCCAGTGACCCCTGGTGGATGTGACCCAGGGCAGAGGGGCCCCGTGCAAGGCTGACTTTGTGAGTGCTTTCAGCTCGAGTCAAGGAGGGTCTTGCAAGTGAACCGGCACCAAATGTGATTTCTTTCTCTCTTCAGCTGGACTGTGATCGAATTCTGCACGGGGTAAAGGGTGGAAGGATTTTCTGCAGCGAATCCTCACAACCAGTCTGTGGCACTGATGGGAAAACATACAAAAATGAATGTGACTTGTGTTCAGCTGCCATGTGAGTAGGTGGAGAGATTTCAGTAATGCAGGGCCATCCACCATTCCCGAGTGTCTTTTGCAGAACAGTGTTTGTTTTGATACATCATGACTCACTATCAAGCGTGTCCTTGGTGCTTCGCTGTTAAGCAAACATAGATCAAAATGCCTGAGATTAATCTGATGACAGCTAATTAAGATACACAAGTTGCCAGGGTCCCYTATTCCCTCTCTGCCCCATCAGGAGATTGTTTGGGGACTAATAAATGCCATCACACTGGAAGTRGCATCAAAGCATTGAGGAGCCCACAGAGGACTGTCATGCAGAGAGCTGTGGCATTGCAAGTGAATAATAAGCRATGTCTTGTCCTCCCTTTGCAGGAGAGCTTCCAACTTCATCACGGTAAACTATCGAGGCGAGTGCCGAGCGCCTGGCCCTGAAGTGGTAAGCGGCAAACCACAGCTGGGCTGCCAACCATCAACCTCTCCCTTTCCCTGGTGGAAATTCCCCATTGGCACCGGCTCAGCCTGTGCTGACCTGATCCAGGTGGCCACAATAGGCAGTGAGGAATGAGGAGTGGCTGCAGTCACCAGCTGCCCCTTCGGCAGGGGCTGGGTGGCCACGCTTTGACCCCARTGGCAGGTTAACTAACAGAGATAACTTGTTCCTTCAATTAACAGGGGGCTCGTTAAAGGCTTGCTCTGCAGCCTATTTGAAGCCCCTATTTCTATTTTATCTTTTTTTTTCTGGAGTGGAATGTTGCCAAGAGATGGAGAAAAAAAAAGAAAAAGCGCCTCTCAGGCTGTGTGTGGTATCCCACTTCAAGTGCCTGCTGGGGATCCTCTGAACCTGTGAGAGGATCTTTAGGGTCCCCAGGAATGGATGCTCATGGTCCAGGTGTTTAAATACAGGTTGAGACTTGAATTTAATACATAAACTGGGCATAGTCTCCATGTTTTGCCCAGGCTGCGTGGTAGGAGTGTGATGTGTCTGGGAAAACAGCTGACTTTCTTCCTCTGGGAATTTGATGAAGCTGGAAAAACCAGAACTGTATGAAGCATGAAGGGCTTGTTCCCTAAACAATATCCAGGGAGATAGTTGGGAAATGAAGATTATTCACTAGGTGGCATACTTTCGGGAAAGGTCTTGAGCCTTGACATCTTGTGCAATCCCACAGCAGATGAGTTAAAGATTTCTCAGTTGTGCTTTGTGTTTCCACCAGTGGAAGCTTGAGAGCCTCCAGCTCTTGGATTGGCAGCCAGTGACTCCCAGTTTGTGACTGTGCTTGGGATGTCCTGTGCCACCTGGGGAGGACTGTCCTCATTGGCACCAACTCTGGAGAAACTCAATTTGTTCCTACTCTAAAATGGGAGACAATCCAAATATTGAAACTAGCAAAGGGATTTCTGGGAAGTTTTGAATGGGAATTTTGGCTTCTGAATATGGATGAGGGATCCATGTGCTTGTAGGCAGCAGAGAGCTCTGGGGTATGAGAGCCATCATGCCATGGTAAAATTCCATGTCTTCTGCTCAGTGCCAGGACACCAGAGATCCCAAAACACACTAAACATCATAGTTCCTTCCCTCCTCCTCTGTAAAGCAGCAGAGTGCTCTAAACTTGGTTTAAACTCAAAGAAATTGAAGTGCAGAGAGAAATAATTTTGGCTGTGGTGGTACTGGAGGCCTTTGTGTCTCAATCTTTAGGGAGATGGAGCCACGATTGGCCTGTGAGTGCAGGGAGAGGAGGCACTTTGTGAATCTGTTAGTTCTGAAAGAGAATGASACTGGATACACCATGGCAACTGAAAAATAGAGAGGATTCCCACAAAACTGTTCCTACTCTGGAATTCCTTGCTGTTTGGTGTTTCACCAGGCTGTTACAGCTCTCAAGCCCTTGCAATAAGAGGGGGATGCCATTTACTGAAAGTCACAGAGCTTTGTAGCTGTGTTGAGTATTCCAAGAAGAGACAGATACAATTAAAAGTCAAAGGGATAAGCTTTTTCCTTGAGGCAAGAAAAGCCCMAAAAAAATGCCCCGGATATGCACAATGATTTATTCTTTATGTTTATTRAGTCACCTGAAGAATCAGGCTGGAAATTTATGGGAGCTTATAAACAATGCACAAAGCAATGTTATTTTTGGCACTGGAATTCTTACTCACTTGCAGTATAACGAATTTTTCTTTCTGCTGAAGATTCAGGCACTCAATATATGCTACTAAAACCTGGAGGAAAGCAGCTCCAGCAGTGCTTTTGGCATCAAAAATGGGTTTAGAGAGTTGCAATGTGCAGAACGTGAAATGCTTTGGAGGAAGATAAGRAATTGTTACCTAAAAAAATGTAGTATTTCCTTGAGCTGTATTTTTAAATTATCCATGGARAGTGCTGGGTGTTGCCTGAGAAAATGTGTGTTAAAGCTGCCTCATCCCCTCGCAGCTCTGTGCCTGCAGCTGCTCCTGCTGCAAAGCTCCTGCTGGATTTCCAGGTGTTTCTGGCAGCTCTGGTGACCTGATGGCCATCAGGGAGGGATGGTTGTGGGAATAGTTGGGAGCAGCATGGTTTGAGAGAGATCTGACTCTAAAGRGTGTATCTGGGCATGGCTGGGGTGGAAAACCTTGCTGCAGAGAGAGCCTGTCCCCACTGGCCAGCCTTGRGTCTCGCCACCTTCTCTGGGAGGTCTCTGCCGTAACTGAATTCCTTTGATCCTTTTCTGCTTTGCTGATGACAAATATAGGTCGGCATCCTGGGTTTAGATATCTTTTCTTGGTAACTTAACTGGCTGGTAGGTCCTGCAGGGCTGTGCCACGTGGATGAATTGATTTTGGATCTTTCCAGCACCTTTGACTTTTAATCCTGCGTATCTTGCAGCTCCTTTACTTGTTCAAAGTTTTTCACACTAATCACCTGGGCAGTAGCCACCAGTCTGCCCACGCTGGTCCATAGATCAGGGGGAAAAAAAAGGGGTTATCCAGTTTCTCCTTTTTTTTAAAAACCTGTTTCTCAACAAACAGATAACTCCCAGGTTTGCAATGGGCAAGTCCCAGTTTCCTTACAATGCTCTCTGTTTTGCCACGCTGCTTTTCAAGGTGGCCAAAGGAACAGAAGAAGAAAAGCAGGACCTTTCCTAGATTAGAAAACAGGTGTGGAAAGCACCTAGCTTAAGGCTGAAATAAATCTTGTTCTCTTCAGCTGGCAGTGGCCCAACCTGCTTGCCATTGTGCCAGGCTGTGGAGGGGCTGTCACACCAACACCAGTGTCACACACAGGTGGTCAAACTTGGGGCTGAGCTTATTTTTTGCTCTTCCTTTCCAGGAGTAATGGAGTTCAGARTGCCAGCAAACACCAGGGATCAGCTGTGACCAAAGGTACGGAGGGAGGAGAGGCAGTGGCTTGGGCAGCCTGTCCTTTGGGGGTTGTKTCCCACCAGGGCTGGAGTGTCCCATGAGGGTTGGAGTGTCCCACCTTCTCTGGACAAGCTGCAGGGCTGGGAGGGAGAGTTCTGCAGAATTTTCCCTTTTCCTGCAGCCACGGATGGTGGGGCTGAGCCTGTGGGGTCTTGCAGTAAAGGGCTCTGCCCACCTTTTTCCCCTGGCTCTGTATTTTTTGAACAGAGAGGATGCTGGCAGAGCAGCCTGCTGTTGTCTCCCATCCCAGGGAGGCAGGGGTGGCCCAGAACCACAAATTTAAGGTTTCCTCATGGTGTTTTCAGGTCCCTTTGCCTTCTGGGATCACAATAATGAACTGTCCACCCTCTGTCTCTGCAGAGCGAGAAAAGGAAGAGTCGATGTCGAGCACCAGGGGAGCTGCAGAGTCCCCAGGGCTGCCAGAGCTGCCTTCATCCCCTTCTGCAGCAAACAGAGCCCATCCTTGCTCAGGTGGAGGGCGAAAGGCTGTGGGGCCTCGGTGGTGTGTGCCTCGCTGTGTCTTACCGTGCTTCTCCAATAAAGATAACTCCTCAGCTTCATGTCACTTTTCTTCACTGAGCCTCGGGGGAGGGACACACGAGCCCCCAGTGTGGCTTTTGCCTAGGCAATAAGCACCAGCTGCTGTAAATACCTGGCGAAGATGTTGGACCCAAGGAGGAAGAGTGTGGTCTGGGGTTTTGTGAGGAGGGGTCAGGGGTCAGGTTCTCTCTGGCTCGTTACGGGGTCTTGGGTTAATCACTTTCACTGCCCTATCAGCCCTTTTCTCCTGCCTGTAAAACCAACATTAAACGATACTTACCTACCTCAGAGGGTTGTTTGAGATTTGTTTGGTTTACATTTGGAAACCTACGGAGAATATTTTGATTTTAAAACACCCCATGGCAGTTCAGATGATGCACAGTGCCTTCTTCCAGGTGAGTGACTGGGAAATCCAGACCACACTTTGGGGCAATGCTGGGGTGTAGATAGATGTTGAGTGGTTCTGTTAGGAGCTGTGCTGAGGCCAGAGAGGTCTGGGATCTGGAGGTGTGAATTTGGTTGGTATTTCTGGCTGTGAGAGGGCAGAAGCACTGACAGCACCCTTGGGGCAGTGCAGGGAGCTCACCATTGTGGTGTTTCATGGATGTTCTGCATCTGCTGCTGGGTCACCCTCTGCCTGAACTCCTGGAGGGCTCAGCCAAAGCCTAGCTCAGGATCCATCTCCTACAAGGAGAGAAGGCTCCTTCCTTTGGGGTCCTGGTGCTGGGACAGATGGAGAAGGGAGCAGCCCCATGGCATGGAATGACTTTAGGCTTTTTAAGGAAAAGTGCTGCTGTTTTGAGATGTAACTGACCTACACATGATTCTAATTCATGGTCAGATGAAGCCAGGCCTCCGAGCCAAGGGTTTCCCTGTGTTTTTTTGGGGTCAGTGGATCTGGGAATGGGGTGGGGTTTGCAGAACAGGAGACACCGAGGGTGGGTTAGCAGAATTCTGCTGGCGGTTCGCACGTACTTCCTGTACTTTCCTTTATAGCTGTTACTTAAAGCAAATAGGTTCTTTATTTGTATAAACTTTATTGCAGGACATTTCCAGAAGACCTTGAATGAACATTTGCAGTGTTTGAGTCCATTTTAGCTGTGACCTGATCTGTAAACAATTTTCTCTTGCAGATAAGGCTGAAGTGACTTTCAAATTTTGACAGGATTTTACCCAATACCAATTAATTTCACTCCCACCAAAGACGTAGAATTCTTTCAATTAAATTATCAAATCCTCTTTTTCTGCTGCAGTTAATGAGAATTGATTTTAAACCCTCAAAATGCTTACGCATGCATCATGTTTTATTGCAGCTGATAATAATATAAACTGATTTCATTATCAGCASACTCTGCCAGAAGTGGTTGTTAATTGTTCGAATGCTTATTTTTAACRTGAGCAAACACTATGATTTAGAAATAAATTATGACTGCCTCTTTCTACGTGGAAAATCCCTTCATGTGGTTGAGTCATGTAGGGTGAGAGTCACCAGTTTGGGGCTGGTTACCTGTTTTGGGGAATGCAGAGTTTATCTTTAAGCTGAGATGAAACAAGTACATTCTTGAATGTTATTTATGCAGCCKGAGAGTGATGAATGTCAGACTGCAAAAATGCTCTCTGATGATGTGTGCTCACTGATTCCAGCTAACACCATGTGCAGGGGCATCTACATGATTTCATAAAAGCAGTGCACAATTTGTGGCTTAAAATAAATTCTTGCAAAGGAAAATCAGTGCACTTGAAAGCTACTATGATTTGTAGTGATTTCAAGTATTTAAGTTTTCAAATAATGACCCCTAAAGCCTTCATTAACTGTGCTTGAAAAGCAATAAACTGATGAAGACTGCCCCAGTAGCCTCTTCTGTCAGTATCTGAGCACTTTCTAAATTTCTCCTGCTGCCAGCAGAAATTATCATCCACAAAAATCGCAGCTGGTGATAAGGGATGGTTAATCAGATTCCAAGCCCATCTGCTGAGGAGGCCCAGGACAGGGACTTGCTAAAGCTGCCTGTGCTGCTGYTGGCAGCAGGGCTGGCTCCATYGTGCTCCCAGCAGCCTGAATGCTCWCTCTGCTCTTGCCTTCTACCCCYTTTTTGCAGGTTTTTCTGGTGAGAAGGTCCCTGGCAGCACAGCTCAGTTCCGGAGGGATGCCATGCTTTGTAACTCCTGAGGAGAAAGAGGCAAAGGCTCACGAGGTGCTGGAGATTTACCCCTCTTTCTTTTGTGTTTGCTCTCAGTTGCCCTTTGTGTTGCCCTTTAAAATGGTAAGGAGGCCAAGCCAGTCCTCTGTGAAACTGGAAAGGTACCAGCGCTCTGGGGACTCTTGGGTTTGCTGTAAATTACACTTTATTAAGGGTGTTGCTTGCCAATAACCACRGACCCCGTGTGGTTCACAGCAGTTCCTGAGGTTTTGCAGGACTGGCATTATGAGCTGTCTCCAGCCTCTCAACGTGGCTGGGTTTTGAGCTAAAATGCCCTCTGCAGGGACCTTAAGTGTCATCAAATTTTCTTCTTTTTTTTTTTTTTCGTTTTTCATAGAAGGTGTCAGGAACTTATGCAACTCTTGAGGGCATGCAAATGCTGCTCTTGGTGGAGAGTGAGGACTGTGGACTCTGGCAGATGCCTCGGCAGACCTTGAACTCCCCGTGGTGTTTTTCTGTCCATTTGGAGCCCGGGAGCTCTGCCCAGCAGCTTCCAGCCACCCCGAGGGAGAGCCCTGGCATGGCCCCACGGTGTGCTCTGCCCACCACAGGCTGTCACAGCCGACAGTGCTGGAAATCTTGCACTTTAGGGGCATTTGTTCCTTTAAGAAGTGGGTGAATTGTGGCAGGGAGATCTGGATGCTGACTGAGCAGGGAAGCCCCTCTGGCTCTCCCTGCACCCTGGTGATGCTCAGCCCCATCACACAACTGCARCATATGGGTACCTGGGGCTTTCAGTGTTGTCTTGATTATCACAATTTCTGCTCCAAAGCCCATCTGCTTTCACCTTGGGGACTCATGAAGGGGCCTCTCTCTTTTTTCTCTTTGGGGCTTCTATTTGGCATCTGTTAGAACATCTGTTTTTCCCTGCAGGAGTTTCCATACTGCAGTGAGCTCCCTGCTACAGGCACTCCTGTCCAGGCAATTTTCCTGGGATTTCCCTGCTCTACTCTCCTGCAAGATCTCTCCTGCTGCCCAGCTCTTCCTCTGGAACTGCAACAAAAAAACTTTCAGTGCTTTCCTCTGCATGAAGGTATGAGCAGATCCACTCAAGTTCTTCACTGCAAACAGGATGCAACTGCTTGCAAATTAGAAATCCAAATCCTTGATAGAGAAGGTCCCAAAAGAAACAGCTTAATGCTGGGTGTAGTAACAGCCACCCCTGTGGTTTGAGGGTGGGAAGCATGGAGAATTTATGCCTATATTTCTGAAAAACACATGGGTTGGCTTTGATTGCCTTCTTGCCTCAAAGGAGTTGCTTCCCTTYGTGGCCTGTGCCAGTGAAATTCTGCAGAGATGGAGACAGATGATTCACAGCTGGGGACAGAGGTAACCTGGAGAGGCAGCAGAAGGAGTGGTGTGCTCATGTCCAGAGCTGCTCAGCCTGCTGCAAATCCCACCTAAGGAAAATAAACAGGTGGATGTCAACACAGCATCACTGCAAGTGGGAGTTGCACAAGCACAAGGGTGTAAACACAACCAAAGGTCTCCCAGTCCAGCGTGGGTGGAATGTGCTGCACCTGCTTCCCTGCTCCTGAAAGGCTCTGTCCCGAGGGACAAATTCCTGGTGGAAAAAGCTGTGCTGAATCACTCTCTGTGAAGCAGGCAGCTCTCTGGGAGGGTCACAGTATGGATCTTCCTTGTGCACAGGGCAGGAGCCCAAAGCTGAGCTCCGTGAGCCTCGTCTGGCACAGGGCACAGCAGGCATGCGCTGTGGCYGCGGTGTTCTCTAAATCCTAGTTCCTTCTCCAGATCCTTGACAGGTGTTTGCTCTCCTGTCCCTTTAYTCCGTCTCCTATTGCAAACTGCTTCCCAAATTTAATAGCTTGGTTGGAAGAGAATTACTTTGCTTTTGACAGAACATGCTGAGTCAATCCACTTCAGCTGCAGATTTGGTTTGCAAATAATATCTCCTTTCCGAYAGGGTTCAGGTGTCAGCGCTGCGGACATTTGCTTGACCATGACAGCTTYTGCAGAGCCTGGCAATTAAGTTGTCAGGAATCATTTTCCACTGCCAGGAAGCATTAATGGATGCTGGTCTTGGCTGGAATAAGGCCTGCGAGATGGATATTGTAATCGGGAYGAGAAGGGGTCCTTGGGGCCGAGGTCTGCATCGATCCAAAGTGCRGGAGTCCTTGACACTTGGTGGAACTGAGATAAGGGAAAGGTCAGGAAACACAGGGCAGAACATCAGGAGGAAGGAATGAAACCAAGGAATATGAAAAGGGAGATGATCCCTGGTGTTCCTGGCGACTAATGTAGCAGGAAAYGTTGGCATTTGGAGAAGGTTTAGCTTTGCAGATGCACACCGCAAACTAATATTAGTAGAGCTCCTGGATATGAAAGCAAATATTTTTCCACCAGGTAATCCCTAAAACTGTGTTATTGTGGATTTGCTTTTCAAGGGAGAAAGATGTTGGAAATGTCCTTCTCTTAGAAAATAAAACTRTGATGATTCAACGCAAGCTCGCTCTGTTTAAATTATGTCAAAAATAGATCTGCAAGCAAGGATTTTGATTACCAAGTACAGAATATGAAAGATTAAAAGTTAGCGAGAGATTTGGAAAATTTAGGCTCCCAGCTGAGAAGTCTACAATGGAGTTTAATCCAAAAAATTGCCACAAATCTCCTTACATAAAGGACAAAAAAAAAAAAATAGTGTTCAGGGCCAATCTAAGTTCCATTACCTTAATAGYGGGCAAGCCTTAAGGAGATATTTGAAGAAAACTAAAGATACAAAGCCTAAAGAGATAACGTGCACAGTGAATTTTCAGGAAGCAAACCATGCGTGGGCTAATACCAATCTTTGCAAAGTTGGCTGACTTCCTAGGTAAAGGAAGTACAGTACATCTCGTCTGTGCAGACATTAAAGGCATTTGGCCCTCTGCCCTGGGGGTTGGTGTCACTTAGGTTTGGTAAGGTGGGTCAGGGACTGGCCACGGGGGAGGTGGAAGCAGATGAGCAGAAAGTGCTATGGGATTTACCAGTGAACAGCCAAAAAAGRTGGATTTTCAGGACCAAACTTAGTATTTTTGCTCCTTGCTGTATCACAGGAAAAGTTGGCATGCAGAGCAGAGCGCTGCTGAGTTTTTTAAACA